GCAGCGGTCACAATGAGAACCCAGTCTGTGCCACTGATGGAAACTCCTACAACAACCCCTGTYTGGTGCGAGAGGCGTCCTGCATGAAGCAGGAGCAGATCGACGTCAAACACCTGGGCAGGTGTTTAGGTGAGACTCAGTTCATCCATCAGCAAACATTTGTTATAGAAGTTTATGGTAAAGGAATATAAAAGTATCGATTTGTAAATGTTTGTGTTCCTCTTTCTCTTGCTTTAAATCTTTCTTCCTGTGTTTAACATGTTTTTATTTTCCTGTCCGCTCCTGTTTTTTAAAATATTTTTAATGTTTATCTTTAATGTATTTTCTTCAGTTGTCTTTTCTTTATAAACTTTATTATATGGAGCTACTTCCTCCTACATCCTTCCAGCTGCAGTTTGAATGAAGTGTTTTTCTTCTGCATGTTAATATTTAACAGGAAGTGGAGGTAAAACTGCTTCCTGTTTGTCTCCTGACTGCAGGTCTGTGACACTTTAATAAATCAGTGTCGTTTCTGAAACCATGTCAGTCAAATTAAAACGTCTAATCAGCAGCGTTTTCAATTAAGAACATGAATGTGCACGCTCRCAGGAGCCACGGATTAATCCAAACCTCATTAAGGTCCCGGAAGGATCCGACACACGGGGAGAGACGGGACCTGTCAGAGCAGCTGGAGRTCTGGTTTTAAATCTGTAAATATTTGCCGACATTAAATCACTTCCTGTGCGTGCCTGGCAGAGAAGAGACACTTCTTTTCCCGCCCAGCAGAACCAGAGCTTTGTGTTTAACTGTGGGGTCCTTCCACTGTTTCTACACTTCCTGTTTTCTCTTCATGTCCAGTTGGAGTCTGTTCTTCTGCACATTATTTAGTTAGACTATTAGATTGTGTTGATCACTTGTGTCCTTCATGTTGGTCCTTTAGGTACCTCTTTTTGCCCACGATCCTTCAGTTGAGCTCAGATTTTTATTCTGTTTTTATCTCTGATCCAAACTGTAAACTTACAGAAGTCTCTCAGGTTTCTGAGTTTCCTTCTAGTAAATCCATCGAGTTTTTGATTCCAGACAGAAAAAAAAAAACAGATTAAAGTTGTTTCTGAGTGTCTGAATGCAGAAATATTGAGTCTGTTTGTTTGTGTCTCTGCAGACTCCTTCAGTTCTGCATCTGTTTATTCAGTTTTATTACATTTCTCCGGTGCAACATTTTTAACAGATCAAATGAGTTACGACTTTTCTGAACGCTGCCTGTTTTGGAGGCGCGAGGCTCTGATTCTAACCYGACTCACCGTCACCGTTTGGTGTCTGGAGGGTCCAGCAGCTCTGGTCTCTGGTCTGATTTATTCTGATGGACTCACCTGGACTCACAACATGTCATCCTGCCACCATCATCTCTGTGGATGTTGGCAGGAGATCCTGACCTGCAGGATTCATGGATTAACTGTCAGGGGTTCAGGCTTTAAGGAGGCTGGCTCAGTTCGAGGGAGGGTCCAACACCCTCCGACCCCCCCTCGCCTGATCTGCTGTCATCTTGAGGCGTTACACTTATCAAAAGCTCAGGTTAAAAATGCAGAGTTAAGATTTAATGCTTTCTGTTAGTGCATTTTTCATCAATGTTTAAAACAGTCAGAGGGATAAAATAAAATAAAAAAATAAAATCAGCTCTGAGAAACCAAATCCCTGCAACCTGATTCTGACTGATCCTGGGATGACTAAAAAAATGATTTTCTGTTAATAACGCAGCAGTAAAATAAAGAAATGAGTTTGTTTCATGAGCATAAATCACCTTCATATCTGAGGATTATCACATTTGTGTTTATTCTTATTTTATCACATTTTCAGACAAAAAAAAATCTCATTAGGATAAAGCTCTGTTTGTCTCCAGAAAACAGCAGACAGCAGAAATAATTGCAGCGCTGCCGTAAAAACAGACGTTTGACAGAGAAAAAAATATAAAATTAACAAGATAAGCATAAAATATTCTTCTCTGATTTTCAGAGGAAAATAAAAAAATCACTTCAATCACAAACTTTAACTGTTATTTTCATGTTGAAGCTGATTCCAACCAAATAAAACGGTTATCTTTTTTTAAACAGCTGCTTTAACAAAGAGGGCTGATAAATCCTGAGTATGAAGATAAAAATTTTATCTTTGTTAAATGTAAGTCATTAAATAAAAATAAAGCTAACTGAATTGTGTAAATAATTATTGCTGTTTAAAACAACACTTTTCTATTCTTAGATTAAACAAATTATTTCATCAAACCGTTTGGTTTCGTGTTAAAATGTTTAGTTAATTATTAGGATGAGTAAAGAAGAAGCAGCTGAATAAAGAAGACAACGATTACAGCGAGTTTTCTCAATCTGAATAATTTCCTGATTTATGAAGGTTTCTTTTTCCCAAAATCTTTATTGAAAAAAACAGTAAAAACAACAACAACATGAACAAAATAAACAACAAAATAATGCCAGGGAGTCACATAGCAAAAGTAAATAGAGCAATAAATGTATTATTATATAAAGTTAAGTCACAAAAATGTTAGAGTACATATATC